CTTCCAAAGACCACAGGACAGTGAGGGAGGTACGAAAGAGGAACTTCAGGGTACTTCCCTGGTGGTCCAGTGGTTAAGACTCCACACTTCCACTGCAGGGGGCATGGGTTTGATCCCTGGTCAGGGAACTAAGATGCTGCATGCTGCGTGGCATGGCCCAAAATTAATATAAAATAAAATTAAAGGATACCTATACTATCTCTGACATATATCAGTTCACAATTTAAAAAAAAGAGGAACTTCACAAAGGAGAAATCTGACAAACACTACATCAACACAATTGATCAAGGTCAACATGAGCAGTGATAAGTCATGTTAACAGTATGTACCCTTGATAAGATGTGATGAGAATGGCACTTTACCTCTGTGGTCTTCCTCCCCAAAACCCACAACCTCAGTCTAATACTGAGTAAACATCTGATAAACCCAAACTGAAGGACTTTCTACAAAATACCTGACAGGTACTCCTCAAAACTATCAAGATTATCAATAAACCGGCATGGCTGAGAATCTATCACAGCCAAGAGGAGCCCAAGGAGACATGACATCTAATGTGATGTGGTGTCCTGGATGGGATCCTGGAACAGAAAGATAGTGGGCAAAAACTAAGAAAATCTGAATAAAGTGTGGTCTTTAGTTAATAATAACGTATTCATATTCTTTCTTTAGTTGGAAAAATATAACATACTGATGTTAGATGTTAACAATAGTGGATCCTGGGTATTGAGTATATAAGAATTCTCTGTACATCTCCACAGCTTTTTTGGAAAGCTAAAATTATTCTAAAAATAAAAATTTATTCAGAACAAAAACATGACACTTGCTGTCGGCTTTTTATAAGGCACACTTGATAAGGTTAAGATAGTTTTCTTCAAACCTAGGTTTGTTGTTTATCTTTTAGTCCTGAATGAGCATTGGATTTTACACAACACATTGAATTTTATTATGTCAGTATATTTTGTTGACATGATATTTTTTATTAGCCTGTTAATGTGGTGATGAGTATTTTGCCTTCGTGGGATAAATTCTCTGTAGCATGCCATGCTGTTTAATAGCATTTTACCCACATTAGAACTTCTTTCAAAATTGGAGTCAATCCTCTCAAACCCTGCCACTGCTTTATCAACTAAGTTTATGCAACATTCTAAATCCTTTGTTGGCATTTCAACAATCTTCACAGCATCTTCACCAGGAGTAGTTTCCATCTCAAGAAACCACTTTCTTTGCCCATTCATAAGAAGCAACTCCTCATCCATTAAAGTTTTATCATGATATTGCAGCAATTCAGTCACATCTTCAGGCTCCACTTCTAAGTCTAGTTCTCTTCCTAAGTAATCTGCAGTTACTTCCCCCACTGAAGACTTGAACCCCTCAAAGTCATTCATCAGAGATGGAATCAACTTCTGCCAAATTTTTGTTAATGTTGATATTTTGACCTCTTCCCATGAATCACAAGTGTTCTTAATAGCATCTAGAATGGTGAATCCTTTCTAGAAGGTTTCAATTTACTTTGTCCAGATCCAACAGAGGAATCACTATCTATGGTAGCTGCAGCCTTGCAAAATGTATTTCTTCAATAATGACATTAAAGTTGAAAGTACTCTTTGATTCATGGGCCACAGAATGAATGTTGTGTTAGCAGGCATGAAAGCAACATTAATCTCACTGTCCAGCTCCATCAGGGCTCTTGGGTGATTAGGTGCATTGTCAATGAGCAGTAACATTTTGAAAGGGATTTTTTTTTTTTTTTTTTCTGATCAGTATGTCTCAACGGAGGGCTTAAAATATTCAGTAAACCATGTTGTAAACAGATGTGTTGTCATCCAGGCTTTGTTGTTTCATTGAGAGCATAGGAAGAGCAGATTTAGCATAATTCTTAGGGCCCTAGGATTTTCAGAATGGCAAATGGCATTGGCTTCAACTTCAAGTTACCAGCTGCATTGGCCCCTAACAAGACAGTCAGCCTGTCCTTTGAAGCTTGGAAGCCAGGCATTGAGTTCTCCTCTCTAGTTATGAAAGTCCTGGATGGCATCTTCTTCCAACACAATGCTGTTTCATCTACATTGAAAATCTTTTGTATAGTGTAGCTACCTTCATTGATTATCTTAGCTAGATCTTCTGGATAACTTGCTGCAGCTCCTACATCGGCACTTGCTGCTTCACCTTGCACCTCTGTTATGGAGATGGCTTCTTTCCTTAAACCTCATGAACCAACTTCTGCTAGTTTCAGGCATTTCTTCTGCAGCTTCCTCATCTCTCTCAGCCTTCACAAAATTGAAGAGAGTTAGGGTCTTCCTCTGGGTTAGACTTTGGCTTAAGGGAATGTTGTGGCTCATTTTATATTCTATCCAGACCACTAAAACTTTCTCCATATCAATAAGAAGGCTGTTTCACGTTCTTATCATCCATGTGTTGACTGGAGTAGCACTTTCAATTTCCTTCAAGAACTTTTCTTTTGAATTCACAACTTGGCTAACTGTTTGGTGCAAGAGTTCTAGTTATCGGCCTATCTTGGTTTTCAACATGTCTTCCTCACTATGCTTAATCATTTTTAGTGTTTGATTAAAATGAGGTACGTACAATTCTTCCTTTCACTTGAGCACTTAGAGGCCACTGGAGGGTATTAATTGGCCTAATTTCAATACTGTTGTGTCTTGGTGAGTAGGGAGGCCCTAGGAGAGGGAGAGAGACAGGGGAACAGCCAGTCAGTGGAGCAGTCAGAACACACAACCTTTACTGATTAAGTCTGCCATCTTATGTGGGTGTGGTCTGTGGTGTCCCAGAACAACTACAATAGTAACGTCAAAGATCAGCCATAGATCACCATAAAGAACATAATTTTAATGGAAAAGTTTGAAATATGAGAACTACCAAAATGTGACCCAGAGGCATGAAGTGAGCAAATTGGAAAAATGACGTCAATAAACTTGCTCACTACAGAGTTGCTGCAAACCTTCACTTTGTAAAAAAACATCATATCTGTGAAGTGCAATAAAACAAGGTCTGCTTGTATAGCCAAACTCACAGACCTACTTATTGGCACAGCACAGACTGGAATTTATTTTCCACACTCACATTGGCTCTAAATTGTCAACTGAGTGAGTGGATTATTCTTGTTGCTGCTCCAGGCACCTAGCAGAGAACAGGGCATAAACCAATACAAACGGTCCCCAATTTAAGATGGTTCAACCTATGATTTTTTGACATCATGATGCTGTGAAAACAATATGCATTCAGAAGAAACTGTACTTCAAAGTTGACATTTTTATCTTTTCGTGGTACCATATTCTCGTGATGCTGGGCAGCAACTGTGAGCACAGCCCCCAGTCAGCCACATGATCACGACAAGGATAAACAACTGATACCACCATTCTGTTTTTTACTTTCAGTACAGTGTCACAATAAGTTACATGAGATATTCAACACTTCATTATAAAGTGCTTTGTCTTAGATGATTTTGCCCAACTGTAGGCTGATGCACGGCTTCTGAGCACATTCAAGGTAGGCAAGGTTAAGCTTTGATGTTTGGTAGGTTAGGTTGTATTCAGTGCATTTTCGACTTAAAATATTTTCAACTTATGATGGGTTTATCAAGATGTAACCCCGTTGTAAGTCAAGGTAGATCTGTACTTACTGACGTGTTGTCCCACTGGAAAATGCTTTAATTTGAGGTTTCTGATATTATGGGGTACAAGGGAGGCAAGGAAGTAGTTATACTTTCAGAAATGTGATCCCCATGACCATATGCACATATATGAAGTCCCTTGGCCCCTCTGGGCTCATATACCTCTAGGATGGAAGGCACGGCTTGAAGGTACCTTCAGGAAACGTGTAGGAGAGTGGGTGCTGCATTCATAGGACCAGTGGAGGTGGTGTGCCAGTGGGAATCTTCCAACTGATGCTTCTTATGTCTCCTCTATTCTGTTGTTGGGTTTTATTTTCCTTGTCTGACTCCCTTTTTGCCAGTGGCCAATACCGTGTAGTTCATTCCTTCACCATATGCTGGCTCTGTGTGTATCCAGACGGCCCCAGATGGTGTGGAACTCAGGAGCCAGATGAAGTGATGAGCATGCCTGTCTGCTCACCAGGAATCCCTACTCTGGTGCTCCCGTCTCCCGGCAAACCCCTCCTTTGAGGCAAGCCCAGGTCAGCAGTCACCTCTTCTATGAACCCTTCTCCAGAAAGAATGAATCCTTCCTTCTTCTAGGATCCTGTTGCAGTTATCAAAGCCTATACTGATTATTTATCTATAAGTGCATCAGTTAACGGGTGTGAATTTGCTACAGGACACTTCATTGCAAGGCTGACATAATTCTTTGTTTTTCCATATCAAATAACTGCCTTGGTTGCCCTTTACTGCTGCTGGGGTAAATTCAAGGGCAGTCACATTTTGGTAAGCCTTTCCCTAGGTTTTGGTGCCATCCAGGAATCCTGGGCCTTATGCAGTTCAGAGATGTGGGCATTGCCTCTGCTGGTCCACAGCGATCTCAGATCCTGGTGGAGCTCAGATTCTCTGGGGCCTGACGAAAGTGAGCTGCAGAGCCCCCTAAGTGGGCACAGGGAACCCCTCTGCACTCAGCCTTCTGCAACATGCTTGCTGAGAGCAAAGGGGATAGTGTCTACACACCACTTTTGAAGGCCCTCGTCAGCATTCTCTCTCCCATCCTCTTCCAGAACCATGACCCTTCTTCAATATCCAGGATGTAACTAAGCCCCTGACCCCTTTGCCTGGTGTCTGCTCTGAGCTTCCTCTTGGCAATTAATTCTCTCGGCCTCAGAAAAAAAAAAAACAATGCCTAGATCACACCACCAAGTTTTGACTGTCCTTCTGGCAAGCCGTGGGGAGTTAACTTTTCAACATTCTCAATCGCCTTTAAAAGAGAACGAGATATAAAGAGGATATACACTGGGAATTCCATCACACACTTTTGCAGAGTCTCCTCCGTGTAGAACGCCTCCCTGGCGGACTTCGCCTCTCCTCTTGGCACCTCCAGAACTGGCTGAGAAGCAGGCTGGTGATGCCCAGCAAATGGATGCTGAAAGAACATCCACGACCGGCGGGAGGTAGGAGGGGCCTGTTTCAGGTCTGTCTCGTCTCCTTGGAGGGAGTCGCGAACCTGTGGGAGCCCGGTTCCCGGGCGCTGCACCCCGCCCCAGCGGGGGGTAGGAAGAGCCCTGGAGAACCGGACCCTTGAGGGTCCCGGCGTTCTCCCACCGACCCGGCGCAGCTTCTGAGAGTATCAGCGAGCGGAGTGGGGACAAAGGATAGAAGGGACCGGCAGAGCCCGGCCTTGGACAGCCTCTGGAGCGCGGGGACCGCTTGGTGGAGACAGAGGCGGGGCGGGGTCGCACCTCCCCGGGAGCGCTCGAGCTACCGTCCCCCACTGCGGCCGCCTAGCCGCCCGAGGGCCGGCGAGCGGGGGGGGGGGGGGGGGGGGGGGGGGGGGGGGCGGGGCTCGTCACGTGGAGAGGCGCGCGGGGGTGGCCGGGGCGGGGGCGCGTGCTCGGCTCTTTAAAGGCGCGCGAGCCGAACCGCGAGAAGCGGCTCTGCGGCCGCAGGCGCAGGCCCGGGCCGACTTCCGAGACGCGCAGCTCCGGCCGCAAAATGCGCCGCTTACTGTGCCTGGTGCTGGCCGCGTCGCTCCTGCACGGTAAAGCCGCTGGTCTCCCCGCCCTCCACTCTTCGTCCGCGGGATCTCGGGCGCATCCCGGGTGGCTTGGGGCGCCCCGCGCCGGGCCCGGGTTTGGGGCTTCGCTCCCGCCGGGGGCGGCGGGGGTCGCTGTCGGCGGTGCCGGGGGAAGGCGAGCCCTGCTCGTCTGGGCTGCGCTGCTTGGGCGGCCTGGGGTGCGGGCAGGGGGCGCGGGGCGCATCCCCTCTGGCCTTCCTTGAGCAGCCCGCCCGGCTCTTCTCTCCTCTCCTGAAGTGTCCCTGCAAGGCGAGTTCCAGAGGAAGCTCTACAAGGACCTGGTCAAGAACTACAACCCTTTGGAGAGGCCCGTGGCCAACGACTCGCAGCCGCTCACCGTCTACTTTTCTCTGAGCCTTCTGCAGATCATGGACGTGGTGAGTCCCGGCCCGGCCCTGCCCGCCACCGCGTGCCTCGGTTTCCCCGGTCGCCTGGGAGGAGCCTGGCGCGCGCCCCGGCCACCTGTGCACGGGTACTTCAGACCCGCCTTGCCCTCGGTTTAGAAACTCAGGACGAAAGTATCTCCGTCCTGAGCCGGGAATCCTCAAGAACAGGTCCGAATGATCACGTATTAGTACCCCTTATGGTATAAGTATTGACATGCAGTCCGACATTTGGAGTCAATTTAGACATTTCTAGGCTTTTCTGCTGCCCGTGGTATGCACTTTCTCTGGGTAGAGGCCTGGCCCTGGGCTTTGCAGCTGGTTCATCTGTCCAGGCAAAGGGCCAACTCTGAGCATTTAGACCCCCTCCCCAATTCCAGTAATGGGCATTCTTTGCCTTCCTGGTGAGGGTAGTGCGGGTCGTCTTGCTTTGAGGATGAGCAAAGCTCTGCCGCCGGGATACACTTGTCTGCTCTTCAGGAAGCTGCTTTCAGCCCCACGGGCTTGCGCACTTCAATTGGCAGATCTGTGTAATAGCTGGGTAAGTTTGTTCTTTCGCTCTTCTAGACTGCTTTGGATATTCAGTTGTCACATATTAAATATGGATATTGGATATTCAGTTGGCACATCCTCATACGATATAAATATTTTACAAAAGTGTTTAAGTCATTATAAATGGGTTTCAGTGTCTAGCCTGTACAAGGCATTCATTGGACTGTGCTCTGGAGAAGTGTACAGGTGTGATGCTGTTTCAGGGAGGGAAGAATGTGGTAGGAAGGGGGTGTGAGAATAGCTACAATAGGTAGAAAGTGCTAAGAGCCTCCAGAGGTGTGCAGATTAGAGGTGTAAAAAGACAGGTAAGATTTCATAGTCCTGAAAATAAAGAGTGCCCGTTCTCTTGCACTGATGTATGTTGCATCACTTAACCTAGTTAAATTGCTGTGATGAATGGCTTGCTTTCCCACATGACACCTGTGTTAAATATGTACTTCCTTCTACAGATAGACCCTATGCTTCAAAATATTGAATGTGCGTGCGATGACGTGGGCAGGTTATCACAGAGGAGAACTGTAAAGGCAGACAAGTGCTGTCTCGTGGGTTACCAGGGCAAAAATTCCTGTTTACAGAGCTTGGGCTGGAGGAAAGGGGAAAGGATGGAGATATGGAGTTAGGGGAAGAGGGGCTGGGAAAGCTGCCCCGGTGTTAAGCAGAGCCATGGTGGAGAAATGGAGTTACAGGGGCTTTGGAGCAGCACAGGCCTGCGGCATTTGGGGAGGCAGGTGCTTTATGGAGCAGCTTCTCTGTTACTTCAGAGAGCTCAGGATTTGTGCTTGGGACCTTTGGTAGGTTCTGGCTCTGCTCGTTTCTGGCTGGTTGTTCTGAGGAAAGTTTCTTAAACATCCTGAGTCTGTATTTTCCAGTTAATACATTGTTCTCACTGTGGATCTAGCCAGGAATGCATTTGACTTCCCAGCCCAGCAATCCTGTGAGCTCACGGAGTGGCCTTGAGCAAATTACTTTACCTTTCTAAGCCCTGTTTCCTCATGTGTAAATGAGAATAGTAATACCCACTTCACAGGGTCTTGAGAGGATTAAATAAGAGAAGGTGCTTGCCACACACTGGTGATTCACTGAAGGTTTGCTTGATCTTCATTATGTAGCTACTCAACTCAAGGGTTGGGATGTCAGTGCCTAGAAAGGTGTGGTCCCTTGCCCAAGGTTGCTCATTGGTTAGAGGCAGGGCTGTGTGGAACATCCACATTTGCCTTGCAAGCCCTTTGCATCTCCTGCCTCCTTTAGAATCTGTAACTTCTTTTGCAGAAAGAAGTCAGCTTAATTTATTTAAACTGCCTGAGTGTAACTGATTGAATGTAACTATCCTGAGATCCTGGGTGAAGAAGTCTCTCTATTAGAAGTAATGAAATATGCAAACATTTGTATTCCAGCAGGACTCGGCTCTGTGTGGTTTTGAAGCAGAGCCAGGGCTTTCCAGCCAGACTCTTGGGATCCTGGACAGAGATACAGTGACTCATAAGTGATTCATGTGGCAGAGCCCTAACTGTTGTCAGGTTCTCTTTACAAATTTTGTTCCAGGGGTCCTTTGCCCGTTCTGACTGGGCTGTTCTAGAGAACATTTTTTCTCTCAAATCTTGTTATTGTTGCCCTTTCTGCCAGCAGAGATTTCCTGGCGGGAGTAATAGGGAGATAATGTGTGATTCTACATACCTTATTTTCATGGAAAATCATTTACCTGTTTATCAACTTATTCCACACATACTTATTGAAGGACTTGTGGACTTTGCTAGATTCTGGGAACTTATACCTGGTTAAGGGATTATTTCTACTTCTAGAATTCACAGTCTATCTAGGGAGACTGACGTGTAAATCCAAGATTACATCACGTGTAATTGAACACAAATGTCTGTAAAGTGGTACAGACACACATAGTAGGAAATATTTACTTCCAGCCAGGGTGGCTAGGAATTAGATTTCTAAAGGTGAGTAGAAGTTTGCCAGTTGGAGAAAATAAGAAAGGCTTTCCAGGTGAGACGAACAGGGTGAGGAAAGATGAGAGTGGGGTGAGGCCAGCACACCCTCAACAAGGTGTGTTCTATGGAACACTGGCTCCCAGTTGATCTTCGCTGCGGGTTTTGCTGAAAAAGTTTTCAGAAACTTGAATGTGCTTTGTGTATTGAGAATTTTTTAAAGGAGGGATATCATACTAACAAAACTACTAACTTTCTCTTAGGTACCCTTTTGTAAGAATGGTGTTCTAGAAACACACCTTGCAAGGATAGGGTTATCTTTTGGTGGGAGGGCTGAGGTGAGTTCATACCGTAGACAGAAGAGGTGTTGAACGTGAGGTGTGTCAAGTGGCTCTGCAGAGTTTACATTTTGCCTTGGACCCTCGCCTGGGTATCTCCCAGGACATGAGGTGGAGGTGGTGGTGTGCTAGAGGATTTGTGAAGCTGCAAGACCAGCTTGCCATTGCATATTTTCCTAGAAATGGAAACAGTCCAAACCATTATATTTGTATTCAATCCAACAAGTATAAATTATAGACTAGAATGAAAAAAATGTGCATAAATTTCTAAAGACAAAGCCTGTGTTTTTAGAGGGGTAGTTTTACCAGGCCCCCTTGGTGAGGCACGAGGTGAAGCATGGGAAGGGGTGGTGGATTTTTAATCAAGAGGAGGGATGTTACTAGATCTGTGTTTAGATCGAGGATGCTGAGGGCAGTGTATGTGTGGGACAGATTAAAGAGAAGAGAAAGTGTAGGCAAAGGATGAAGAGGTCGAAACTAGAATGGTCACTGTGGGAATGTGGAGATGTGGACAGATTCCAGAGGCATTTTGGGTATACTATCTATGATATATAACTGTGTATGTGAACTTCATGTAGGTATACAGATAAATTTATTGAGTGGAAGTACCTAAATGCATACTCTGACTTACGGTGATTATTAATTTACTTCATGGGCTTGTATCTGGGCTGGGAATGAGATAATACCTAAGAAATCATTTTGAAGTGATGCAAGTGTAAGGTTCTTAAACTACCAACAGTTTCCATAATATTTCTCCTTTGTGCATGCCATTTAGTCATTCACCTGTACACATATATCTGAAGGCCATTCCGAGTGTTGATTTGCATAAAATAAATGTGTACAGTTATGAAAGCATGGCCAGAAGGCAAGGTATTTAAAATGAATAATAGGAATCAACACAAAATTATACGGAAATGTATAATATATAATGATGCTTGGATGATTTTTGTTCTTTTGTACATTTGGGATTGCAGAGTCAACTTTTTAGAAGCTTTAGTCACAAGACAGCAGAACAAAGTGGTTGTGCATTTGGGGTTTGCTACTGCAGAGGGCAGGCATGGGTGTGGAGCCCAGTATCTGAGGGCTTGTGTGTTATCTGAAATCCCTTGGCCTCTGCTCTGGTTTGTCAGACTTATGATTTTATGTTTACTGTTCACTATGTAAAATGCTACAACTCTAACTTAACATTACCAAATATTTGCTGTAAAAATTGCACACCTTGAAGACAGTCTGTGAAGAAAACCCAAGGTGCAGCTATGTAATTATCCTAATAATGTTTTTATAAATGGTATTTCTTACAGCTAAAAATATGTGTTTTGTGCAAGAAATCAAATTAAACAAAAAAAGGACTGCAGGGGGGAAAATCACCCAAATCACCATCACTCAAGGCCTTCTGGTGCAGTTCAGGCTGTCTTTTCTCTGTGTTTTGGGATGTTTAGAGAAATATTTAAAAATTGAAATAGCATAACACCATTATGGCGCCTTAAACAATATTAGCAGGCATTACTTTTAAAGGGACATAAATAGGCCAAGTAATAAACTGAGTTTTAAAACAAAATTGTGTTGTTTCCCCACTATTACATAACTCTCACCATCACTGCATATTCAATCCCTGTTCCTATTTTTATTTTAGAAATCTCTCACAAAGTATTTATTGAAATGATTCATGATGTTACTTCTAAGCCTGGATGCTTTTAAATTTTGTCCCAGATATTGTATGTGAAAAATCACAGAGATAATTTGAAGATCTTGACACTACCTCCCTCCAGTTTTATGTTTGCTTCTGACCAACACATAGGCTATAGCTACCAGCAAGCACAAATCACCTTAATCCAGTTAGTGACTGAGTAGAGGAGGACCTGGGCTTCCGTTCCTGTGAGGGCTGGTTAGTTTCTGAATTTTGCATATATGTTTTAGGGTGTGCAAATAGAGAATTTAGCAGGGTTTTCCTTCTATTCTGTGGACCCTGCGCCCCTATTTGTCCTGCTAGCTGTTGAGTCTGCCAAGATCTGTTTAAACTTTTGGCATTGTAGGCGTTGCTTTAGAAATCATCACATGGCTCCGGAAAAATGGCCCCAGATCCTGTTATTTTCCTAAACTTCCCTTTTCTGGCCCTTGGCCCTGCTGTTCGTCATTGCCCTGCTAGTTATCTGGTGCCTTCATGCACATG